TAACTTTCTCTGTAATTCAACAGCTGCGTTTCTCACAGCTCACATCTCGGAATGGACCAGCAGAGGTGACTGGGCATGAAAGAATAACACTGATGGAAGGTGTGTGTGGAAGGTGCTAATCTTTTGCCATGTGTATAGGAATGTAATCACTTAGCAGATAATCTCAGATTCTGAAAAGACAGCCATTCATTTTAAAACAAACACCAAGCTCACTGTTACCAGGAAGCTCTGATCAGTTCATAATTTAGCTTTAGCTCTCAAAAAATCCTCATCGTTAAGGTGAAAGGATGTTGAATTTGTGTAAATCAGAATAGCTCCAAGTTTCTTGCAACTCAGACTGCAGCTGAGCATCAGTGTCCTCTGGCTGAGCTTCTCTGTCACTACCACCAAAAGGTGACTCTCTTCCCTCTGGACAGTCAGTGCATCAATAAGGCAACCGAAGGTGACATGGCAGAAATCAATCTGCCTCTCATTAGTGGGATGAATAGAAGCATTCCAGGGAGGGGAATCAATGAAGGGGTGAGGAGATGTGTTAAAAGAGGGATTGAAGAAGGAAGTTAATACATTTCAGAGAGCTGAGAATAAATTTTGGAGGACTTTAGGATAACTGTGTCTCACATGAGCAGTGTCATGTACATTCCAAGTATAAACACTGCTGGATAAAATGAGTGCAGGCTCCTAGGTAAGGCAGGTGCTTTTATGTTTTTGGAGATTTCAGAGGGGTTTAAAAATGTTTTTAAACGTTTTTCATACAGCGAGGATGGGTGTCTATAGGTGTGGTGGAACTGAGCCACTGAACTCGCACAGACGTTCTGTAGACAGAAGATATATTTGTGTGTTTATGTTTGCCTGAGCTCACACACACAAGCCCACACAAATAGCATGAAACCCACTCATACATATTTATTTCCCTTTTTACTACTAAGTAGAATATTCATTGCTGTATTTGTAGCCCAAATTACTTGCAAGGAGGAAAAAGTGATTTGTCTCTAAGCGGAAATAGAGATGAGGAAATTTTTCACTCGGGATGCAGTGAGAAGTATATTATTGAAGTGGTTCTGGAACAGCAAGTGTGGACACAAGAAGGGGTCTGGCTGTGCTTCTGGGAAGCCACTTTTCCCAGGCCAAGCACCTTGCATTTCTCACAACACAAATATGGCATTTGCTGCTTTTGGGCCACGGGCCAGCTCATTGCAATGCAGTGCTCCGGAGAGGGAGGCAAGGGAATTTGCCACAACACCTTTTCCATCTTGCTGCCTTAGCTCACTGCTGCACTTACAGATGGCCAACATTTGTGTCATAGACATTTATCTTGCAAAATAGAGACTTTTGTATAAGAAGTATTTAGTGCAGCAAAATATTTCCCCTAAATTTAAATTTTCATCTTGTTTCGATTTTTAGAAAACATTTTGAAATTTCAGATGTTGTTTTTTCTCCTTTCTGTCACCTTCCTTCTGTCTCACAGTCTGTTTTCTGAACACAGTAGATATTTGCCAAGGTTGAAGGATTCACTGTGTGTGGGGGGGGTCATTTTCTCTTTTTTGTTCCCACTTATTTTATTATTTTTCTGATTATTTAAAGCTTTACCTATACTGCTAATGCAGTGCATTCAAAGCTTGACTAGCACAGGTTCTCAGCATCCTATCACACCTCTCCATGTACTAAGTACAAGACAAAAGATTATATTAGAATCACCCTTTTTTTTCTTCTTTACCTGAACTTTGTAAAATTAACCAAATAGACATAAAAATAGGTAAGCATTTCTTAAAATTTGGACATCGAGGTTTTTCATGCAGTCAGTGGCAGAGAGAAACTAATATTGGGAAAGAAACAGAAGCGAAAAATTTTACAAATATTTTGGGTGAAAGAATACACTTTGTCCCAGTTTGAACCCTGAAATAAAAATGACTTCAAAATGAGATGAATCTTTAGATGATTCCACTAATTGTGCCTTGTACACAAAAGTTGAGAGTAGGGTCTTGATGGGCTTTGAGTGAAAAGCAGCACTTCAAGTCCACACGAAAACAAGAAACCTCATCTCTTCACACTTGGGTTACATCCCGAGTGAGACTGAAACAAGCAGCTTTCAAACTCCTGGTGAACTGGAATTTCTGAGAATATTTTCTTATGAATACACCAGAACATGTTGCTTCTAAAATAAAGCCTGTTTCCTCAGAGCTCCAGATTCCTGGGCCTGCAGCAGTCCTCAAGGAATCAAGATGCACATGCTTTGCTGCTGAGTGTATTTGAGATGTCCCAGTTTGTTTTTTGGCGGGACTCGTTGCCAGGCTCGGTGGCAGCGTCTAGAAATCAAGATGAGATCTTTCAGCACAGTGAACCTGTATTTTACAGCTTAACTTCGCTTTCTCAAAAAAAAATGGAGTGTGTGGACTTTGCTCCTCTCTGCTTAGAGTATCCAAGATATTTGTTTGAAGATTATTTTCGAGATTTTGACTGATTTCAAGGCTCGCTCTGATTCCTACATGTCTCATGCTTTCTGCTTGTGGGTTCAGTGTTTTGTAGTGACACAAACTATTTCAGGTCCTGCAGAAGTACTATGTGAAAAGAGATGGATTCTGTATGTCCTTCCAAAAGGTTTTTAATATGAAGGAAAAAGCTTGTTACGAGAAAGAGAATATGCGGGGGATGACAAGTAATTATTCCCACAGAGTACAAATGAGGTATTTATTCCCAAACAGAGAAGTGTATCAGCTGTTTAACTAGAAAAGTTCATATTTTTAATGTGTCTTGCTAAGATGCTCGTGGACAAAGCTTTTTGAGAGCAGTTCTGGAAAGCTGCTCTTGCATTCCTTAACATCCAGATGATGGGTTTTACACCAAGTGTACAAGGCGGTTAATGACCTCCTCTGCCAGATTTTAATAATTTGCAGCTCTTATGAGCAGCTGATGGGTTTTTTGGCCATCCATGTGAAGGTGGGAGAGGCTGCCAGTGGCCATGGTCACCCACAGCCACCCAGGGCTTTGTGTGTGCCAAGCACAGGGTGGTCACTCTGGTCACCCTGCCGGGAGCAGCGGCAGCCGCAGAGCAGCGCGGGAGGAAACGCAGAACAATCAGCAGGGAAATCCAACCCACAATAACAATCTGGCCTCCACGAAAAAGAAAGGTCACTGCTTGAAAGCCACTATTTGAGAGCAGAGGGGAGTTGAAAAAGAGCGAGCTGAGTAGACTCAATGCCTCTGTGGTTCCAAGGAATTCCTTTTTTGTAAGGAAAACAATGCAGCAGAACAATGCGGATACTTGCAGCGCTTTCGAGGCAGTAGATTAATTTATTTTTTTTTCCTTATAGAAAGTAAATTGGAACTGCTTCCATAAACAATAGGCACTGGCTACGGAAGAAAGTGGGAGCTTTTTGCAGAGATTTGAAAATAACCAAAAGTAAGGAGCGCATTGGCAAAACGTTCTGCTTTCCCAACGTAACATGGAAAACTCCACGCAGCCTCAACATTTGAGGAAGAGAAAGGCTACGAAAGCAGATTGGGAGACATAATGTGGTAAACTTCAAATCTGCCAGATTTTGTTTTCGAAGCCAGTGTTTGATGATAGGTTACCTCATGATGGGAATTGCATTGCAGGCTTTGCCAGCTCTTTCCCCAAACATTCAAAATCTTTCAAAACATTGTTCTCCACTAGACCAGTTTATTCCAACAAATTATACTACCGTGTACTGTGCCCCAACTCAATCTGGTGCTTAAAGCTGCCCATAACTGAATATTCATTAATTCCAGGCAAACATCATGGCTTGCTGTGCCCATGCCCTGGCACGGGGTGCAAGAACACCACACCAATAAAGCACACTCAAAACCCCCAATGCATTAACCCCAGCAGCTTTAACTTTTTAAAGGCATTTACTTTTTTTTTCAATTGATAAAGATAAAGCAATTTTGGTGGTGTTACCTGATTCCTGACCTCTCTGATTACACCACTGCCAGCATTATAGTGCAGCAGTCCCACTGCTGGAGAGGATCCTTGTACTGGGAAAGCTTATTTGATTTTTCTAGATGAAAATAAGCTGACCAGTATGCCCCAGTACACTGGCTTTGGTAAAGAGGATTTGGTCTCTTAAAGCAGCATTTATTTGTGTGTAGGTGAGTCTCCAACGAGTTAATAGCCATAAAAATGTCAATATTACAGCCAAAAGGCCTTTTTTATCAGATAGATGTTGAGAAGAAAAAGGCACTGATATTTCTGTGCTGGCTATCTTCATTGATAAATGCAAGTTTAATTACTCTCTATAGCTTTCATTAGGCCTAAGTGGCTGTATGCTTCTTTATTCCCTTCTCCCATCAGAAATATAACATTGCTGAGAAGCAGTTGAAATTTATAGGTGTTTCAGGATCAGTGTCCACCTTTCCTGTCCCTTCCAGTTGTGCCTCAGTCTGCATGTTCTAGTTTTCCTTTGGCTTTTATAATTGAAACATCTCTGAAGTTCAGAATGATTATAAATTACTTTGGGGATAAAAGTTTTGTCCTGTGAAGTTTTCTGGCAAATTGCTAGTTTTCAGCAGGTAAAAGCTCATGATAACTGAGCTCTGAACCTATTCCATCAAGGTTTAAGCAGAGCAGAGACAACTGTAACCTGGTTTCTTTATGATAAACCTCAGAGAACAAGGTAAGTAAAGGGATTCAGAGCCACGTCCCTCTGAGGGGTTGCTACACCGCACAATCAGCATGAATCCTGGCTCTTACTGGTCTCCTGGGTAGAACAGCCCTTAAATTCAAGATCAGACCCTTTGTTCTCCTCAGGCCAGCCCTGAGGGCTTCTCCCAGGATCCCTCCCTCGGGACTGTGGGATGGGCACGCACCTAGAGCCTTCCTTCTTGAGAAACAGCGGAGAAGCTGCACTGTACAGCTGCTAGCAGAAAATTTGGGTAGGACTGCTGTGGCAAAATTTGTGATGCAAGCACAGGCTTCAGTGATGATGCTGACACTGCCAAAAGGGCTCACTCACACCTCTTGCAGGCTGCTGTGGCATCAAAGGTTGCCCGTGCTGATGGGTGTGTGCAAGCCAGGAAAGTGGAATCAACCCTGGACCAGATGAAAACTTTCTCACAGCACGGATGGAGACTGGGCCAACCCTGGCACATGGAAATGGACCTGTGCAGCTTAAAAGTCAGGTAAACTGTCCAGAGTGTGTGCTCAACATAATCAGGTGGCCTTCAGGTCTCCAGGGCTAATTATTCTTGCACTTTCAAAGCTACAATATTCCTCAACCCCCCCTGCCATGTCTTACGCATTAGAAAACCTGCCAGGTAACCCAGTCGGTGTGAGGAGGGGCTGCAAGGAGGGAGCCATCAGGAAAACTTGAGGATTTCAATAGTTTCTGAATCCTGAGAAATAGGAAGGGGCACCTGAGCTAAGCAATAGAAAGCATGGTCATAGAGAGGCTTGGATGTTATGATTTAAGGTACATTTGGTGAGTAACTGTAATAATAATGGCCCATCTTCGCGAACGAAGATTTGGGGAAAGGTCTTTTACCTTTCCAGCCTGCGCAATGGATTTTTTTTGGTGAGACACAGCCTGCGCTGAACTGAGCCCACCCTTTAATCCTAAGGTTCATCTGCCGGGGCCAAGCAAGCTTGGACAATGGCAGTGAGGTCCTCAGGACGTAGGTTTGTTTAGAGTGTCCTTCTCATAGATGGATGGCCACACAGGGCTAACGACCTCCATCAGGCCGGGAGACCGGGATTTGAACCCGTGGTCGCAGCAGTGAAAGTCCTGCACGCTAACCACTAGGCCACCAGGGGTCTCACTGAGTAACTGTAAAAATAGGATAAAGAGCATTGTACAGGAGACAAATGACTCTTTATGTAAGACATGACCTGGGGCATCATGCCAGGCTATCACTTCCAGATTTGGAGGGATTCAGTGTTTTGTATGGCATGATGGAAACTTTTGAAAAATAAGGTTTCCCCTGCAGTGCAGGTGAGTGACACCTGGAAGTTTGTACACTGCCATCTCTGTACACCTCTGTACACCCCTCCTTCCCTCTCTGCTCTGTAGGCACAACACAGCAGCAGCAGTAGGGAGAGGAGGATTTGTCCCAGTGAATACACAAGTTGTGTGAGGATATCTCAGCAGGCAGCCTCTAAGCTCCAGCAGGACCCAAGGATCCAGGATCCAGGTACTCTCAAAAACTTGGATTGTAATGACTGAGACCTGAGGACCCAGCATTGTTGGAGAACAACAATGATTTCCAGCCATCTCTTTTGTCTCACTTCCAGTGCTCAATCAGTCTAATTACTGCTGGGCCTTTGCCCATCCTGTTGTGAAATGCTTCAGGGGTTAAAGAAAAACAGCAACAACAACAATAAAAAAAAGATCAAACTGTGGTCTAAACCTCAGGAGGAAGAAGGCATCTGTCAGGACAAGCTCTTACCAGAAATGGTATAAAGAATCCTTGTTTACTGAATCTTTCAAGTCTGCAACTAGTTCAAAGACACCTCACAGTCCTCCTCATTAGAGGAGCAAAGGAACAGAAAAGCCCTCAGTCTAACTCATTAAAAGCAGTAGCTTTGTGTGCCGTGGTGTGGCAGGCTTTTGTAGGTTGGATTTTTTCTTTTGCATCTGCTAATGGTAAAGTTCTTTCCAAAGTGATAATTCCACCCCTGTATCAAAATGTGAGCAAAGGGTAACTTTCTTTATTGGATTTGGATTTATTCACATATTTTGTAAACTGCTTAAAGATAACACTCTCAGCAAGTGAGTGTGCCAGGAGTTACCATGAGTGATAAAAGATCTTAAGGCAGTTAGAAGGCAGTTTTCTCTTCAACATACTCATTTTTCTTGAAGAATCACATTAGAGCAGAAAAGAGTTACAATAGCATTGCAGTTCCCTGCACAGAAAATGCCCAGGGAAGTGAGACAGCAGCAGAATGGTGGCATTCACCTGCACCACAACTGAGAGCATCGGTTGAGGGAAGAGGGCTGAACATTGCAGCAGCTCCTCCATTTATCAAAAATGGTAATAATGACAAACAATAGCTCCCTCTTCCAGAACACTGAGATGGGGTTGAGGATAATAACCTGCAGGGGCTTGAAATTTCTTGCAGCCAGGTCTCCTCCTGAGCCACAGCTGGCAGGACACCTCCTGCACCAGGGTGGTCACTGCTCACTGATCTCAGTGAAAACTAAATCGGGTACAGGCACACTGCAAAATTCCTACTATAGATCCCACTGAAGCACAGCTTTGGTTCTCAGGCATTTCTCCCCCCACATCTGTACCTTGTATTGTTTCTGCAGGGGATTCATTATGAATTAATTCTTTCCACTTTTTTTCATTTCCAAAGAGTATCGGTTGACGTTCACAGCCTCTTCAGTGCTCCCCAAGCTTCATATCACACCTGAACGCTCATTTTCACTGCCTGAAGGTCTTTTGCAACCTAAATGATTCTGTGGATCTGGCCTGTACTTCAGCTTAAGGGAAAAGCTACCCATTGATTGAGTTTTGGAGGAAAAGACTGGATCCTTCAGCTGTAAATTTATCTTGTGTTATGTCTTCAAGGTTCATTCATATTATACTTTGCAAATGACAAAACAACATTGCTATTTATTAAAAACAATAGTGCTCTCATAATTTTGATGGAAAAACAATGGTACAGGGGTGATGATTATTAAATACAACTCCCACATCTTCCCCAGGGCCTGGGCAGAGCGAGGTGGAGCTCGGCTGTGGAGTCTCCCTGATCCTTCCATGGATATCAGCGTCTGCAGCACCTGAGGTCCACAGCAAAACTCTTTCCTCCAGAGGCCAAGAGCTGAGTCTATAATTTCAAGCAGGGTAATCACTTTTCCAAGGCAATAACAAGCACTTCCCAAGAGCAGCTGTTTAAGATGGCTCAGAAGCAATGACAAGAATGTGAAGGAAAGTTTGGTCCATGAATCCGGCTTCTGCACGTGGCAGGGAAGAGACACCTTTTGATAAAACACCACTGGACACTTTGTATTTTTAATTCTTCATGTCTATTTGTGCTCCCCCTCTAATCACCCCTTGCACTATTATTTTGTAAAAAGATATGTAGGAGATAAAATATGCCTGCTCAGGGAGAAGAGATAGATTTTTTGGTTGTTTAAAATGCAGCAGGTATGTTTTAAGCCCTGTAAACGCACCAAAAGCTCCACAGTTTGTACTGAAATTTTCTGCAGGCACTGATTTCTTCTGCACTTCATAATATCAGTGCCCTTGGGTATCAAGTAGGCACAGTACTGGGAGTGGAAGAAGCAGATGAGGAAGATGCTTTGGGTACAGCTCAGAGAGGTTTTTTGCAGCCTTCAAGTGCTGCCCTCGCACTACAAACTGGTCTGCTGTTGCCATCTGCTGGAAACATCCATAATGGATATTTCCAAACACGGTGAGCAGGAGTGTATCTGTTCTTATTACAGAAATACTTGAGGCTGTTTGTGCTTTTTAAGACACGGCTTTTTCCCGTGTAGGTCCTGTGTGATCTGCCAAAGAACTCTGTATGCACCAGACTTAACATACAGTGTGCAGTGAACACACAGTTCATGGGCAGAACCTGATTTCTTACATACACCATGCTCTGCACAGTAAAACACCCTCAACCAAGACCAGTGTAAGAGCAAAGCCATTCTTCCATCAAATGTCTCCAACTATGGAGAAATATTACCCTTCCAAAGGAAGTTATCCTTCCTCTCTGTTGCAACTCTTCTGTCTCATGGCATCATAGAATGGTTTGGGTTAGAAGGGACCTTAAAAACCACTTAGTTACAACCTCCCTGCCCTGGCCAGGGACACCTTCCCCTCGCCCAGGCTGCTGTGCAATGCCCCCAGGCCTGTTACTTGAGTGGAGCAATCCCTATTCTCTGTGCATGTTCACACAGAGACCACACAAAATTTTACACAAGAAAAAGTCCTAAAGATCCTGTCCATCCTGACACATTAAATATAGAATTTATTTCTACATTGCTTTCAGTTATTTCTCTCTCAAATTATCATGCCTGGAGAAAATATTTCTTCAGCCTGCTGCTATGGGATTTTCAGAAGCGTTGGATATAATTTCCTTTTCCCTCAGATATCTTTTTCTCGCAGCAGGAGTCCTCAAAAATCCTTTCCTTTTCTTAAAGGTTCTGTGGTTAATCATCCTGTACAATGTAAGAGCACATAATATCGTGGGACAGGCAAAATCTCTCCTTGCTTGCAAGCAGCCTAAAGACAGACAGGTTGCTGGTTGCCACAGGCATTCTTAACACCATGTCATCAGGCCCCAATCTAATCTATGAGGTGTAATTGCCATGGCATTAAATCCGTTGCTGGTGGCTGATCACCTCCAGCTTGCAGGATTACATGACTCTGAGCTGGTGCTAACAAAGGCAGGAAGGGTTTAGAAAATGCCTCTGCTGCTGACAGGACTTTAAACTCTCCTACTCACAGTGGAAGTCAATGGGGTATGAATATCCCCCCCCCCCGCCCCCATAAGAACAACGGGACCCATGGCTGCACTGCCTCTAAGATATACTTACACTGCCTATAAACTGTCCTGTAATGTGCCTTTGAATTCCAGAGCAAGGGATGTTTAAGGCATAAACCCTGGCCAGAGGTGCTGGGGACTGTTTCAGGTAGCACAGGGGATTGTCAGTGCCATTTTACCAGGAGCAGAAGGTGTAAAGGCAAGTTAGCCCAGACCCAAGACAGTGCTGGCTATGTTCACTGACTTTTGGTTGGCTCAGCATGGGAACAGAGACAACTTGCACCTTTACAAGTCTATTTATTATTTAAAGAACCTCTATTAACCTTTGCTAGCAGAATTAAGCATCTTAAATTACACTGAATTAATTTTCAAACTAACGTACACATCCACTGTGGCTTATAGGACTTCTAGTATGAGGGAGCAAAGATTCTGTAACCTCTCTGTGCCATCCATACTATTACTTGATGTGAAAGTTGTACTGCTGTTATTACTGAGGCATGTCCCCAATGTGTCTCTTATTATCTTGCCATTTGTGATGCCTGAGGTTGGCTTATCCTAGTTAGAGTTCTGATGTAGAGGAGCTGAATTGCCAACTCATATGGAAGTTTGTACTCACTGTGGAGTGACTTATCCTATCAAATTTCTGTCACAGATTACTGTGGCTCTGCTCCACAGAGACTGACATGGCCCCATTGTTGGCAATTCTTCTTTCTGCAATAGCATAAAAATATTGTTCATATTATTTAAAAAGACTATTTTTAAAGCTTTAAAAAGTAGCTAAAATCCTATCTGAATGCTAGAAAGACAAGGGAAAACACATATGATACTGCTCCTTCTTTGTATAATTATTTTTCATTTAAGAACGTCCTGATGGGGATGTGCTTTTACGTATTTAGGGACCCTTAGAGGTTTTCTTCTCCACGTGCTTTTGAGCCCCCCCTTTAGCCTATGTAAACTATTTGTGTCCACCCCATCCTCCAGCAATGCCTTCAGCAATAGGCCACCAAGCCATTTCAGGAATAACTCTGTCCTTTTTTTTGCTTTGAACTCTGATGTCCTGACTTGCTGCCCTGTGTTCTTACATGAGCAATGGTGGTGAACCTCTTGGCTTTCCTCCTTCTTCCTTTATTCAGCTAGTTGCTTTTAGGACTTTAAAACCACGTATTTTGTCTTCTCATTGATGGTAAAACCAACCCCTTGCAACATCCATGGAAGATGAGCATCATGGTGTTGATCAGAGCAAATAATTCTTTCTACTGCATTTTATCATTTGTCCCTGGAATTTGCCGGTCCCCTTCTTCCGCTTCCCCATGACCTTGCCCATGTCCTGTGGAGCCACCAGAGACCTCACCAAGGTAGTGAGCACGTGCTTTACCTAAATTGTGAAAACAGACAGTTGACCAAGTCCACAATTTTTGCCTGCACGTTTATCCAACATGCTTTTGATGGCTCTGTTTCCCTGCACTGAGACTTTGTAACATTGGAAAACTCTTGCGGTGAAAATTTCTTCCTTCAAGTGTTTGCATCTCTGCAAAGTAAATATTAAAGAAGATAGTGTAGCTCTCTCACAGATGACATCTCATCCTTTACAGCATGAGAGGCACAAATCTGTTTGTGTGCCCAGCTCTACTGAGTTCACAGAATCATGGAATGGTTTGGGTTGGAAGGGACCTTAAAGAACATCTCGTTCCAGCTCTCCTCCTGTGGGCAGGGACACCTTCTACTAGACCAGGTTGCTTGGAGCTCCCTTCCAGCCTGGTCTTGAACACTTCCAGGGATGGGGCAGCCACAACTTCTCTGGGCAACCTGTGCCGGGCAAGTACTAGTGGAAAAAGAAACCCCTCCCCAGGTGGAGCAGAGGCCACTGCAGCCTGTGCAACCTGTCACATAGCGTGTGAGGCAGGAAGGCCCTTTCCATTAAGTAAAAGATCTTCTGCAGGAAAACCAGAACAATGGAAAACCAAAGTTGCCTTCAGCTCTCGCAGCAGATTTGGGAACAAACTGAAGGAGGAGCAGTGCTGGCTCGGTGCCACAGCTCTGCAGGCAGTGGGGATGGAGAAGCTGCGATAACGTGTCTCTTCGGCTGAGTCTTTAAAAATAAGACACTCGCTTTCTTGTTGTTTTTTTCGAGCATTACATAAAAGTTCCCCTTAGAAGGCCAAAGGCAGCTGTTTTCTTAGGCCGAGGAAGTCAGGAAGAGGCAAAGCAGGCAAAAACATCAGATAAGTCTGGATAAAAAACTTGGCTAACCTATTTTTCCCCCCTCCTGAACAGCCAAGTTCGAAGCACTCTGCAGAGCTCTGCCTGGGGGGAAAAGCAGAGCCAACCACTGAAAAATGATATCTGAGCACTGGTGAGGACCACAGCTCTCCCTGCCTCCCTGTGGGAACTCTTGAGGTTCCGTTCCCTGTGGTGGGAGTACTTCTCCTCTCATCCAGGCAACCCAGAGACCTTCTAAGTAACAAGCAGATAACTTTAGGTAACAAGACATCTCCCAGTTAAGAAGCAATAGGAAATGGCCTCGAGTTGTGCCAGGGGAGGTTTAGATTGAATATTAGGAAAAATTTCTTCACTGAAAGGATGGTCAGGCATTGGAACAGGCTGCCCAGGGAAGTGTTGAGTCACCTTTAAATATCCCTGGAGGTGTTTAAAAGATGTGTAGATGTGACACTTGGGGACACGGTTTAGTGGTGGGCTTGGCAGTGCTGGGTTAATGGTTGGACTCGATGGTCTTAGAGGGCTTTTCCAACCTGAACAAACCTATGATTCTAAAAAGCCTTGACCCCAGCCAGCTCTGACACAGCACATGGATGTTGACAAAATGAAGCTTGCGATAGACATTGGAGGTCCCCGTCCCACAGGGAGAAGACAAGCCACTGTCACCTGCAGAGAGGGTCTTGTCCCTAGACAGCATGGCAGGAACTTTATCCCTGCCTGGAGTTCTGGACATCCGCCCTTATGTTTCCCCCTGGGGATCGTGGGAGAGAACAAGGTCCGTCTGAAAGCTCCGGGGCTTGCCGGCTTTGGGGCTTTGCAGTTGTAGCGCCTTGTCACAAGGTGGCAGGGACGTGACACTGCCTGGCACGCTTCCGTCCTCACTGCTCCTCAAATCCACACTGCTTTCCTTCTTACCCAAAAGCATATGGATTTATCAGCAATCTTTCGTCTTTTCTTTAAAACTGTCCTTGGGAGAGTTCAAAGGGACGGTAATTAGTTATTTCAAAGCTTAAATATTTTACCTATTTGCACTAAAGAAAAAAAAGAAAAGAAACTGCTTTGCTTCCTTCTGCTTGGAAGTCATGGTGATGTGGGGAAGTGAGGAAGGGGTGGCCTGGGTCAGCCTCTGCTGAGCCTCAGCTCTGGCTGCTGCTGCTTTCAGGTTCAACCCAAAAGCTGTGATTATTAAAAAGCAGGCAGCCCTTCTGTCCTGAGTCACAGGGATCATTTCTTCCTAAATAACTGAAGATGGGAAATTATTCTTGTAACTTCAAAAGAAAAATATGTATACACCTCTCTCTCTCTCTCTCTATATATATATATATATATATATTTCATTTAATGCAAAAGAAAATCTCAGCAATATTATGTTTGTTCTGGCTTCATAGAGTGGATGCTTAACTTTGGGCTTCTGGAAGCAAATGTATGTACATTTATAGGACCAATTCCCTTCTTTTTAGGTGCTTCCAATAGTAATCTTTTACCGTTTCACATGCCAGGAGTTTTGTGATTTTACTACTCTGCTCTCTCAAGGGTGTTGCAGGCTGTGTGGTAAGGAGTGAAACCTTTGTCATTGCTCATCAAACATTTTCATGCAGAATTCTACCTGCAGTGATAAAATTAGATATGTGTTAATAAGCTGCTAATAAGCACCAGGTAATTATTTAGTTTATCTCTAGAGCCCCAGCTGATCGTTGTCTCCTTGTACTTGTTTGCCTGGCAGTCTGTAGGGAGAGGGGATTTTCAGTTTTTTTAATCTGCTGTACATGCAGGGAGAGATTACTCAGCTGTCACTCTGCAGAAAACATCCCTATCATGCAGCAGGAGGTATCCATAACAAATTGCTGACATCCAAATTCAGCCCTGCACAAATGGATGTGTAAGATGCCTGCTGCTCCCCACGTCGAAACCAGACCATGGAGGATCAGAGGCATTGACACAGCAGAAGGAAACGAGCAGAAAATGACCCAAGTAGAGCAGGTACCATTAGAAAATAATTATTTCTGAGCTGCTGTTCACTGTTCACAAATATTTCCCCTTTTCAGCACAATGCAGTGGCCCGAGAAAGGATTTTTGTGGGTCAGTTGGATGTGTTCCCTGCTTCATACAGAGGCTCTCAGATGGACCCAAGGTTTGCACTTCAATTTCTGGGAACAGAAAGTAATCAGAAGTTTTTCCAGCTATCTAAAGCACAGACCCACGGAACCGAGTAAGTCTGAGCTCCTACATGCTTATTATGAACCTTGAGCTGAGTGATGAGTGTGTATATTCCCTTGCAAGCTTGCAATTTATTTAAATACACATAAGGAAACCAGTTTGAAGTTCAAGGCAGGCTCTTAGTTGGGAGGGAGGAAGGAAAATACTTTCTTAACATGTAGCAATTCATCTGTGGAATTTCTCACTGCAGGGCAGTGTCAAGACTGAAAATGTAATAAGATGTAGATTGAAATGGAGAAGCTGACAGGTGACAGGAGCATCTAATGCACAAGTGCACAAATAGATGCTTTTTGGTTTGGTTTAAACTCAAAGTTTATGGAATTTGGGAATGAGATGACCTTTCTATCTTCTGAAATAAAAGCTAGGTGAACCTCAAAATGAATTGATTTCAGATCAGCAGGTCAGGGTGTTTTGTTTTGAGAAAGTTGGGACTCTCCCTTCGATTGTTTTGTGCTGTTTTGTAACCAAGAAATTTGACAGAGGCTTGTGCAGTATTTCAACTCAAGTTAATAAATGTTTTCCAGTGAATGCACTGTTAGACTAAAAAGTTCCATTTGTCTTCAGTACAGCTTGATCATACTGAAGGGGAAAATATAAAATAGCAAGGGCTGTTGGATTGCCCCAAGCTTCCACTGTTGGGAGTTAGGTTAAACTGGTACACAAGTAAGCTCTTTCTGCCTTAGGGGAATACCTTTCATCATCCTTTACCTTCAGGAACAAGGAATTGGATGTAAAATATCCATTCCCAGCTGCCACTTCTCATGTTCCTGAGGCTGCAGTGTAACACCCCTTGTGGGCACCTCCTGGGCGTCTCTGTTTTGTCTCTTCTTTTGGCAGCTTTTGGTCACAGCTCTCAAAAGTCCCCAGGTTCAAGGTTAAACAGCTTCAAGTCAGGTGTTTAACATCAAACTGAACTTCCATGAGAAAATCCCAGTGCTGCCATCCCTCCTGCCAGGGAACAGCCTCCAGGTCTCGTACAGGGCTCTCAAAGGTGATTTAAGCTCCTGACAAATGTACATTTGGGCAAAAGGGCCCCCCACACCTCCTGGAACAACATCAAAGAAATTATTGGGGACAAGCAAAGATCTGCTAAAATCTCTATCTTTCGTGATGTTTTGTTTTTTAATTTTGACCGTGACAAACTCCTCCAATTGACTGCAGATTTCTCACCAGCGTGGACACGCTGAGGTAATCCTGGAGGAAAATCTGTCCTTTTACCAAATTCCTACTCTTTGCAGCCAGGCTTGAATGCCGAGACCTGAACTTTATGTCAGAGCCAGTCTTATCTGTTAGTCAGGACAATTAATTTATTCCTTTGAAACACTTGTGCTAAGCTATCACCAACCACATTTTTCTCTGGTTCCTGGGAATGCTGCTTCTCCGGTTGTTCACAGCCATAGCAACTGGAAAACAGACTCTGTAGGAGAAAGAGCATCAAAGAATCCCCTCCGACAGTAAAAGGGAGAGGAAAAAACATATGATACAGAAAAGCAAGGAGCTATTCAGGGTCAGGCTCACATCCAGTTTTGAGGGAGAGATTTTCCACTAGAGGACAGAGATAATCTAGGGTAAGAATAACAACAAAGTCCATAACACAATTTGCCTTGGTGCTTTCTGCCATAAGCCTTTTTTTTTTTCTCCTTTCCCCACACTTGCTTCCCACCCACAATTTCACACATCAGATTTTTGCAGGTACCAGAGCAGCTGAGAATCCTGCTGGGAAGTTCAGTGCCCTGGACAGACAGACGGCTGCGCTGGGTGTGTTTATTTCCACAGAACAGCTTGTCAGTTTAACAAAGACAGGGAGAAAAACATGTCACATCCAACCACCGTGTGTCTGTAGCACATTGAGGGGGATCTCATTGCTCTTTTCCATTGGCACTATAGGTTTAGCCCATAGCTCTATTTTCACACTCCTAAAGCTATGTTAAAATCATCAAGGGGTCAGCCACGAGCCTGCACTACTAAGTTCACCTTTAAACACAGGCTGTCTTGTCTCCTCCATCCCATAAGGATGGCAAAAGCATCTCTAACAGCAGCCCACTGTTTGTGTGTGCACAATGCAGGAATGGGCACCAACAAAAATAAAGGTTCAGAAAATAAAAATGCGCTTTTTGTTGGAGATCCTGTTGCCAAGTCCCAGCCTACAGCTGTTTGCAGCTGAGAAGTGAAACTCTGACAATACAGTTTGTGATAGAAAAACTGTCAGACCTTCCATTTTAGCCACTTTTGTTCACCCTATACCAAACACACTGATGTGTCTGCTCCATTTAGAGAAGGCATTGCCTGAGCCATTTTCTTTCAGGTATTAAAAGAGGAAAAGTGGGAGCGTGCAGGGCCTGGCTCAGCAGACCCTGGGCTTTAGGCAGCTGTAATTCAGCACTTCAGCAGATCACAGCAGTGCCATGTTAAATTCAGATGGGGCTGGAGTTTGGGCTTCAGAGGCTGGGGATGGGCACGGAGAGAAGGATGGATGGAGGGATGTTGGGCAGCGTGATGAGGGCAGGTCTGCTGCCACCACAGACATGTCAGCATGAGCCTGGTTTAGAGTCACAGCTGCTGCACCATTGCCAATATTCTCTGTCCCTCAGAGGGTGGGTATATCCAGGCTCAATTGCTCTCTGTTGAAATCCTCACATCACTTATAATTCCTCTGAACTGTCAACTTTGCTTTTTTTCTACCAGTCTTCCTCTGTGCTTTCGTATTTGCCCTGAGGCATCTCACCTGGATGCTCTTCAGAAGAGATGCACACTCCATACAGTCAAACAAGGCTGTGGAGAACACAGGAATTTTATAACCACAGGGAGTGCCACGCTCAGCCCTCTGCCAGCATGGCAGAAGGTGGCACACCCACCAGGCAGGGTTTTACACCAAACCCTTGGCCTTTCAACAACCTTGGTGCCCTGTGGGGTGGTTCAGTGGTGGAGTCACAATCAGCTCAGGCTTTGGGTGAGGAGCGTGGTGGGAATGGGACCAATGACCTGAGCCTTAGGAGCAGCAGTAGCTGCCTGGTTTTTAGGCTCCCATCATTTAGGGATGAGCCCAGCCAGGTCCACATTGCAGGACAGGCACGGCCGGAATTTTACTTGGGCATTGCTGTGTTGATTGCATTATTGAAGCCAAGCACCTTTTCTCCTTTCCTGCTTGGATTTTCACAGCTGTTACAGGAAAAATATTGGGGTTTTTTCACAAGTGGGGAAACTGGGGCATGGAGATTTCTCTGCCAAATGACCTGAGGATCTTACACCACCCCCTCAGCCCCACAAACTGAAGCAGCCCTGCAGCAGCAAGGCAAGCTCAGGGGTGTGAGGGGCCAAGAGCACAAACACGTGCTCAGCATCTCTGCTCTGTGAGCGGGGTTTCGTCTGGGCTGTTCCACTGTTGCTGAATTAGTCTTCTCTTTCTTTCAGTTTTAATTAGAAAGCCTGGTGGGAAAAGCTCTGCAGGAACTCCAGTCACAGTTGGCCGGGCCCCTGGCTGGGTGAGCTGGGACCTGGCTGAGGGCAGGACCTGCTTGCAAGGAGAGGCTGCCAAGATTGTGCTGAGAGGTCTGTTTTGGAGGCTCTGCTCTTACCCAGGCTGTACTTCGGCCAGGAAATGAAAGGTAAAATCTGGGGGGTTTTGCTGCTTTGGGTGTTCTATGTGATTTCTAGCCTTTATATGAGAAAATCTAATATCACATGTATTTAAAAAAGAAATCAAAATCAAAATCTAATGTAATATGCTGTTCATTCACGGGGGGCAGTTGGGAAAGGCTGCTCCTCAGCTTTTATATGTGGGTTTTTCTGGTAGTGCTGCAGGCCAGGTGCTGGCTGTGCTCAGCACTGTGGGATAACCTGGCTGTGGTTCTGTACCAGCTGGAGCGTGTGGAATCCGTGTTGACCGACGCCTGCACGGCTTCATCCTTGTTTCTGGCTGTGAGTTGTGTCATGTGCCTCCTCCCAAACACCTCGCTGCTGTCACAGCTCAGCGTTTGCCATATGTCACAGCCCCGTGCCTGAAGGTATGTGTTCCTTAGGCTGCCTGGCCTTGACTGGGATGTGTTTGGAGACTTGCCTGTCTGTCCTCATGAGGGGCTTGGGCAACTCTCTCCAAGACAGATGGATTTTGGGTGCTTTCATTCTGACAACCCACAGTCAGTGACAACTCTAATGCAAACATTTATTGACTGTCCTTACACAGTAAACAAACACTCACCCGAGGAACCCTGAATTACACCGAACCTGTTGTGTCATTTCACCTCAAGTATTCCTACTGCTAACAGGAGGCCTGACCAAACCCAGTAAAAGAGTACTTGCCCCAGCAAAGGCTGCCAAGTGCTGCAGAGGTACCAGGGCAGCAGTAAGGCAGCTCTGCACATGCACATATTTCTCCTCCCCTGCAGCCGGAATGTTTTACAAACCACTTCCTTCAAAAGAAATATATATTTGACATAAGGAAAATTACTTCAACCTCAGGTTAGCAAAATATTTATTTCATAAGTTAAAATATACACAAAGCCCAGTGAAGTTACTTTCTTTTGACCTTAATTTTGAAGTCACTGGTTCAATGCAGTGCTTTACAGAAGGACCTCAGGCTTGCTCACCTTATTTTAACACAAGGAAAGGTGGAGAGGTCAAGCAACTTGCCCAGAAACCCTCTCAGTGGCCACACCAAGGTTATCTGCATCCCTGTGGGTTCAGCAGGGTTTGACACTGCTTCCCCTTTGTTCAGGTGCCTTTTGTAGGAGGGAATTCTGTCTTGTAGCTAAAGGACACAGGGCTGTACCTTGTCTTTCAGGACAGTATTTGTGTTCCACATCAGGCTGCAAGAAGTGTTTCCAGCAACATTGGAGACTACAGTTTGATTCCCAGTGTAGTTTGAGGTTTGCTATACATTAGAAGCTCAGGTCTATGACTGCACAGCAGGTTTCATGGGAAAACATTTTAAAGTATTTTTGTTTTCCTTCTGAAAACTTCCTTAGGAAGATGCTAC